GATATCGGGCGGCGCGAGCGCCAGCGGTAGAGGAAAGCAGGACTGGAATGGGTTGCGGTCGCGGATGTCGCTAATTTGACTGACGTAGGCTTCGACGAGCCTCAGACCGTAGCGTTCGATGGTCCTGTTCCATTGTCGGACAATGTCGTCGATACACCTGGCGGTTGTGCCTATCCACTGCAGCTCGAAGTGAAAACATGTCGCTGGGTTGTGGATGATGTCGTGGTGTAACACCACGCTCTCGGCCTGGTCACTTTTCTGATGAACATTCTGTGATCAGTCCACTAGAATAGCGGCACCGCTCCGCTGGAGTACATACCCTGCTGGGATCGACGTCAATCACCATTGACTGACTCAGGATCATCTTCTTCCTTGCTTTCTTGCCGACAGTTGACTTATTGTAGGTGACTCCTGGTCTTGCATGAGCCTCGTCAGCCGGCGTGAGTTTCGACGGTCTGCCGAACCAGCCTCCGCGGGGAGTCATCGGCACCAGATACTCGCCGCGCAAGGCATAGAAGTAATGTCTAGTAGTCAACTCAGTACCAGAGGATATCACGTTTCTCGGAGAGCTCACCCGTCGAGAAAGCCGTGAGCACCACGACAGTGATCAAACAGCCCTTGTTCCTGCAATTTGGCCCCCCATTCCGTGGCCTGATCTCGCGTCGACACGTCCCTGAACTCGCGGACGAGCCACGCTACTAGATCTGACCCTGTGAAACAGTTCTGGTACGTCCTCCCGTGCCACCTCCGGTCTTTCACAGGCACGCCATCCTCCTCGCGCATCGCCTTCGCAATGGCCTGCAGCGACATGTCGCTGACGTCTCTCTCGCTCTTCATCTTCTTTTTGAGCGGCCCGGCAGCGTGTATATCATCCAATTGCGCCATAAGCGTCTCATCGTGAACGCACTGCGTTGGACCCAAGTCCGTCACGAGGAAACGCACAGGAGGATGTTGTTTTCCCCGTTCGTCTGGAGGTAGCCAGCGTACTTTGGAGAAATGTTCTGCAAGTTTGTCCATGCCGAGGAGGCGTATTTCCTCATCGTTCAACTTTTCACCGAGAGGACCAGTGCTGCTGGGGGGTGGCTCGTCGGTGGGGATGATGACGAAGCGGGTGCGCCAGTAACGAAGCGAATCGTTGAACTGGGTCTCATAGCCTGAGGCCAGCATATCTAACCTGAAATAATTTGCTCGTTATTGCTTCGTATGTGAGCGGTGAAAGACATACCGATTCCAGCTGTAGTTCTCCAAGCTGTGCGGGACGAACGAAGTTCTCAGCTCGGTGTAACCGACGCCAAGTTTAGGCCAGATCAAGCACTGATATTCGTACGGCACCGACCTCGGCACCCTCTTCACATACCTCCGCACTTGTATCGTATCCCCGCTGTATGCAATCCTATGTATCTCGTTGCTCATACTCAGATACACGGGATCGCTTGCACTTCGGAGGACCTCTGCGGCACCTTGGTGCTTTGGCCCATCTTCCTCGACGGTTGCATACGCTGACGGCGTCCGTCTCAAAGGCACCACGCTTTTCTCGGCGTCACCAGTTCGCACAGCGGGGTGGAGGATGAACTGAAACCCCTGCGCGAGACGCAGGGCGACCATGCCACGCATGACCGCGAGAGCCCACACTCGGCGCATGGTTTCCGGATTGTTGCTAGTCACCTGCGGCGGGCGAACGAGGAAAGAGCGCATCTCGGGCGGGTCAACGACGAAGTCGTATGGCGAGACTATGTAGGCATATTCCAGTTCGCTTGCACGGGGGAAGTGCTCCGTTGTGAGAGGCAAGCAGCCTGGTGTGACCATCGACTTCCACTTGATATCGTGCTTTGACAGCGGTGTGGGGAACATGTGCTCCCAACGGCGCGAGAGCGCATTCTGAGTCGTGGAGGATATTGGAGGCCCTGGCTTCGACGGGTTGGTACGTGTGAGAATCGGAGAGGATGACGATGCGAGGGGTGGTAATATCGAGGAGAGCGTACCGCTTCGGCGCTTGACGCCGCCAAAGGTAGACTCTACATCGCGTGGAGGTGTCCCCGCAAGAGGTGAGTGTCGCGTTAGTGAGCCACGATGGGGAGTGATAACACCATCTTCCTCTCCCATCCTTCCCAAACCCGTACGACCCACAGTTGCCGACTTGATGGCGACTGGTCTGGGTGTTCTATGAGAGAAAGGTAATGCTGGAGTTGGTACCTGCTGCGACAACGCTGACGGCTGCAACTGAGAATTCGACTCAGATTGACCACGCGCTGTCCTTTCCACGGTTATCTTCGAGCTCGATGCGACAGGCTGAATAGATAACGGCGACGGTATCGAGGGACTGGACACGCCACCCGCGGCACTCACTGTTGACGTTTCAGGTTGACTGATTCCACTACGAGAGAAGGTGGTCCAAAACCACGACGGTGTGAAACGCGACGATGTGGCTTTCGACGACGTAGGACGCGATCCGGCGCTCTTGGTGCTCCCGACCTTGGTGCTAGATGTCGCAGCGGATACAGTCGAGGAAGTCGAGCGCACAGTACGCGCTGACAATATAGAGGATTGTGAAGGGGAGCAGCTCAAGAGATTCGCGTTGCCCGTGATAGAGACACCGGAGAGGTTGGACGACTTCTCCCCCGCTGCGTCTGCACGAGAAGCTCTAGAACCAAATGGTTGGTCCACAGAGCCACGTCGAGGACTCTCCTGGATAGTAGCAAAACGTGTGGACTCTACACCGCGGCTGGAAGTCGACCGTTTGAGAGCTGAACTCGTGTCGGTCCTGAGAGAGGCCGACGACGTTGTCGAGGCGAACGACGCTATCGAGTTTCTGTTAGTTGGCGGGATGGAGCTTAGGGGTAAGGTGGCTGGGGGTAGCTCATAGGCCGCGAACACATCATTGTCATATTGCTCCGCTTCAGCTTTTGTGAGGCGTACTGCACCAGTAGTTGCATTACTGGTGTCCGTGCTGATGGTACTCATACTGGTATGCATTGACTTTGGCATGGGTGTCGCATTGGGGTCACCCATAGGGTCCGGTAGAAACGGCAGCTCGATGCTTGAGAGCACATCGTGGTCGAGGAGACCGAGCATCTCAATTTCATGCATTTTGGCTCGTGCAACGAACCTACAAGGATGCCGGTGAATATGCATAGATTACATGGTAAGCTGAGAGAGATATTCTTACCTGTCCGTCCGGAACGGCAAGTCCATTTGCCAATCCCAAAAGGAGACAGACATCCAGAACGGCTCCCACCAGAACGTAGTCATCTTCCGACTTGATATGCTCTCGCTGTGGTCTTCATCTGCGGACCATAGTGCATCCAGCGTCCTTGATCCAGTGCCCAGACCACTCGCTGTTGGCTCTGGTTCGTGTCCCTTGAACGCGAAGATAGGACTCTGGTGCAGTGGTGCTTTCGTTAGAGACACAAGGTCGAGGGCGAATCCCTGGTCCAACAGGCGCGTCGTCGTGAGCCGTAGTAACTGCTTGTTGACACGAAAGTAGCCTGTGCCTGGAGTGATGATAATCGTCGCCGAGCCAGTGAGCGCAAGCGAACGGTCGATGTAATGCGTCTCAAGAGGATTGAAGGACAAGTTTAGGGCTTCCAGCAGAGGTCCGTCATGTGCATAGGATAGCTGGCCGACCAGTCGTACATTGTCCGTGTCTGAAGTAGAACGTTCTTCATCACTCTCGTGGGTGAGATTGACTTGGGAGCGCGTGTCGGATGAGGAAAGACTCGCACGGTGGTGGTGATGCGCAAGTAAAATGTCCCTTTGGAAAGCCCAGAACGAGTCTTTAAGGCTCATCAACGTCGGCTTCCAGTCATACAAGACCTCGAGATCGGTGATGACCTTGAAAAAGTCCTTGTACCACCTCCTGTCATCGTCTCGCCGCAGTGGGCCTGCAGCATACTCGACCTCGCTCTCATCATAGAAGACTCGCGAGATAAGGACAATTGTAACGATGTTGGTCGTGCCCGCCTCGCGCCACTTCGTGAACAGCGCTGGGAGGAATGAGTGGACGACTTTTTCATTGTACCTCTCACCGTCACCAGCAAACTCCCAGAGCTCGCGACAGACCTGAATGAAGATGGTGGCGCGTGTGGAAAGGGAGCGGTACACGACTTTCGTGCGGCTGGTGATGTAAGCCGTAGAGACCTGCATGTCTCGACATGTTCAGCAAGTAATGATTTCCGGACCACGAAGAGGACATACCTTCTTACTGGCTATATAGATAGAGTGAACTCTCGCAGAGACAAGGCCAATGAAAGATATTTCCTCGTCTACATAGACGCATTGTCCGACCAGATGCTGGCCCATTCGCCACATCTCATTTCGTCCAAGATATTGGTCTTGGAAGGTGAACTCGACATAATCTGCGGAACAGGCACTCTTGTCGACCTAAGACGTACGTGAAGGAGAGTGTACTGCGCATAGTTGGACGCATATATACCTTTGTCAGAAGCACTTCGCCATTGTTTCTCAGCCCAAGCTTCTCGGCCATAGGCCGCGGAATAGATACCTAGTCTCACTGAGTCGTTCATGCTCATCGCAGCTATCTCTTATGGAATGTAGTATGTACCTGCTGCTGGTGTCTCGCTGGCTCCTCGAGCTTGGATATTTGGAAGAGTACATTGTGTCCAGAACCGTGAGTCGACGGGTGCGCGCAGAGTTGTAGTAGATCGCCCTCCTGCACTCCAGGCCACCAGGTGTGGTTCAGCGAGATGGAGGTAGTTTCCTTTGGATCATGCACCCATGTAGTGAGAACTTTCGAGTCCCCTATCCTGAGTGGTATAGACGGAACCACGGGTACTGTGGACACAGGGGTGGTAGATTTGAGAATAGAGGTGACAGTGTTCGATCGTTTCCTGCCGTACACCGGTGGATGTTGCGATTCAGAACGAGAAGTCGTCATCGTACATACCGAGGACGAGCGAAAGCGCGACCACTGACGGATCGCGAGAGGACGATCAGAAATTGAGCACAAACGTACAATGTTAGACAACATCTCATTTATATACGCCCGCTTAGCTCAGTGGTAGAGCGCGCCACTTGTAAGTTCCAAGAACTTAGTGATGGTGAGGTCGGTTGTTCAATCCAGCCAGTGGGCAATCTTTTTTCTTCGAGCACATATGAAATTTTGAATGGCTGTGTGATATAGGAATCAGTATATATATACATAGATATATTTCGGAGCTATCAGACGGCGCAACCGACATGGTCTAGCCCACTGTCATCGTACAAAGGGAGGGGGTTAGTATTGTACAGTGCTCCAGGAATCAGGATATAACTGTATCAGCTGATATTTATATTGAACAAAACTATAAAACATATGATCTGTTTACAGTCTTACACGGTTGTGCAAAACAAATGGAAGACATTGCGCCAACACTGAAAAGTAGCAAAGGAAGAAGAGTGACTCACGGGGAAGTGTCGACGAGGATGTAGGTACATGGCCATACGCGCTGTCCTTCGTCTTGTCTTCTGTTACGGAATCCGGAACGATATGTATATCTAAAAGCATTCGGAACTTGAGTGCACGCGTAAAAAGGAAAGGGTAAACTGTCGTAGCTTTTTGACGATTTACACATATGGTGTAAGATTGGAGACATATCCAATTTCCTCCCGTCGTAGCACATAGCAATTTCACCATCGCCGGCTGCGCAGCCTTTATTCCCGGAAGCATTCCACAAAGTACATACGGAGGTAATGTGAGTGAAATAACACGTCACCGAGGCGGGTACGTACTCGACGACATCTGCGACCCCGGTTCTTCACAGCCCGAGCGCCGCACGAACCCAAGATAGTCGGTAGCTACGCAAAAGTCCGCGGCAACAGACAGAACCCGCAGCCCAGCATATGCTGTACATCCCAGATAGCCGCGTCGAACGGATCCCACATCGGAGGATAGGCCAGCGAGAGAAGGGCCCAGGGGCCGCGGCAGGCGCGCGCCGCGGAGGTGCGAAGCTGCACCCGCCACCCTGCACCTAGAGAAGCCAAGCGAGAAGGGATCTGCGGCGGCCCGGTTTGTCGTCATCTGCTCTGCGCGCGGCGTCTGATCCGCCGGGGGCAGGGATATGAGGTGGAGGAAGGTCAGGCGCAGATGTGGGCGGGCCTGGGTGGCTCGTGGGTGCGGGTGCGTCTCGCCATTGGGTATGCCCGAGCGCCGCGAAGCTATTAATGAACGGGGCATTTAGTGGTATGTTCCGCGACATGACTCCCACCACAGCAGTCGTCCCAAATGGAGACTGTCGTACCGTGGTCAGAACGCGTTTACGGGCACCCAGGCTGCTTCGGGTGCATTGCTGCCCGTCCGAGGCCCGTCTAGTCCTCTGCTCGCGCCAGTGATTGCTCAGCAGGCAGAAAAGAGGTGCTGAAACACAGGTGCGCGAGGGGTTTACTGCCGCACCTGCGCCTCTGCTGGCGACGAACGCTGCCGCGCACGATCGTAGCAGTCTGCGCGACACGCACGTTCGCGGTGAGCTCTGGGCAGCCCATGAGCATAATAGCGGCTCCACAGACGAAGCGAGGCGCACCTGGAGTCTGCGTACGCTTTGCCACAGTACCCCCGTGGCAGAACGATCTCGCAGACTCGCCCGGCGCCGGGAGAAAGCCTTGCCACTGAGCGGGGTGCGCGACGGCAATAATAGTCTGGGCCAGCATCACACGCAGAAAGCTTACCGGCGGAGCCCCCCCACGCCACGCATTGGCTCGCTGGGCACCAGGCAGAAACACATGCCGCGGCGCGCGGGCCTGTTCTCCAGCAGAGGGAGCTGGAACGGGAGCGATCGTCGTCGTCATGTCAGGAAGGAAGGCTCGGTGGCCGGGCCTGAGCTGCCTCCTGCGGCCGCAGGCGCGGCTCCCAGCGCACGCCCCCGCTGGGCCCAGTGCTCACACACGTCTACTGTGCCCGCGCGGCCAACATTATGGCATGCCCTGAAGCGGTCTAAGTACGACCAGTATGCCAGCATCCCGCTAACCTTCTCGACGCACAGCCTGGCTGGAGGGCTGACTGTGAGTGCGCTTCGGCAGATTAGGTTGACGAGGAAGGCCGCGTTTGACCATCCTGGGCCTCCCGGTGCAAGAATGGTGTCCTGCGGGGGTAACCGGGTCGCCTCGCTGTCCCTGCAATGGTGCTCGTAAAGACGGCGTGGGTAAAACCAGTGCGAAAAGGTGTTAGCTCAAGGGTCTCGCAGTGTTCCGGAGGAACGTACGTATACACACCGAGAGCCTTCAAAAGCCAAAATTTGCTGTGCGCACACAGAGAGCAAAGCCGGTAGCCCTTTGATTGCCTGCGGTGCAGATACTGGCTTATCTTCAGCGTCAGCACGCGCTATCCGCCGCTGACCGTGTTACGAGGACTTACGACACAGATTGGTGCGTCCGCGCGACGCGAGAACGCACAACGGGTTCGCTGTCAGGTTTCCTCGAGCCCGAGGATGACCGAGTCGCTCAGGGCCATGGGTATTGCGTGCCGCCGCCCACGCACGCCAGACCGTGCTGTGAGGAGCCAATCGGCCGCCTCTCGCGAGGCACCCGCAACCTGTTCTTCCCAAGATCGGGGACAATCCAGATTGCGAATGCGGCCGGCAACGAGTGTGGATCGCTGATATTGCAACATCGCTGGAAGCAAGCTGGAGATTTCTGGACAAGCTATAAGCACTGTAGCGCCTAGGACCCCGCGTACCCTTGAACGCAGGATTCGTCGACGAAGGCGGTTTTTACTGGTACCCGTAAGTACAGCTTCCTTTGTGCTATGAGGTGGCACGTTTTTATGCATCTAGCGAGATTTGGCAATGAGCTCCGTCATTTTCCTGCAGATGTAGATGAAGAAGAGAACTAGATTATTTACCTTGTGCCAGAGAATGCAAGACGTTGCGGGTTCAAGTTCGCAGGTGCATAGAGAGTCCATATGGCACGGCTGCACATACACTTTTCGTGTGTCCCCTTCGACCTCGTTGTCTCTACATGAACAGGTGGAAGTGTTATCTTCACCTATCTACACAGCATACGATGGATAGTCGTATACCTACAAAGGAGCAGATTGGGGTCTCCACAAAGCTAAAATGACGGGCGTCTCGATCGACACCCTCGGTGAGCCGAGGGAAAGCTTCCTGTTCCCCGGACGCGTTATACCGAGGATAGACACCACCAAACGTCGACACGGAGGCCTGCAAGGGGGTTCTGATGGCCAGGGAGAGAGAAAAACGCGAGGCAGGCCGCGGGACGCGAAGCCCGAATCTTTCCCTGCATTCGCCCGGCCTCGCGATGTCGACGCGGGCTGTAACTATGAGGACATGCGCGGGCGTGGATTACGTGTAAGATAAAGGCCGCACAGCGGTGTGCATATCGCCATCGGGTCGCCGACGGACGGACGGACGTGAAACGAGGTGCTAGATGAAGGGAGACCGTGATAGGGTGGGCCCTATCGGGGTATGAGCGCATGCGGCGTGCGATGACGGCCGGCCCTGGTCCTACGAAGGCGCACGGCCGCGGCGCGCGCATGCACGGGCCCACGCCCTCTCGCGTTCTCGCCGCGCCCGTGCTCTGGCCGTACGAAGTGCGACTGGCGCATCAGGCAGCGCGATGAGAGAAGGACCGTGGCTCGCGGCGAAGCCGCAGATAGGCAGACGCACCGCGGCACCCGAGTGACCAATCTCCGTGTGGACCCAAGGGCGGCCCTGCATCATCACGCTCGACGGCCGGTCGGGGGCGAGCTTAAAGCGCATCGCGACGTAGTTCAGTGATCAGCGTCAGGTCTTGCGATACCAAGGGTCGTCTCGCCAGCGGCAGACCTCGTGCACCCCGCCCAGCGCGCAGAGCAGCATTTGAGAGTCCCTGCGCGAATCTCTGCAAATATGTAATCGGCATGGGAAAGACTCGCTTAGGGCTCTGCACATGTGTGTCCGCGCAACCTTGGGATATGGCATGCTGCTTCCGGGACGACGAGAGACGTACCATTGAATCGTGTTATGCAATCGTGTTCTTCCTTCGTGGTGCTGGGATTGCAGCGGCCGTGCAGCTAATTCTGCGTAGCAGTGAATCGCGGCAGTCAAGACAGTGTCTGAGGTCCCGGCGCGCGCGGCGCGGCGCCGCCGGGCAGCCAATGGCACACGCGTGGACGGAAATGCAGAGACATAGGTACGAGCGGGAACGTGGCCACCCCGAATGTGTGCATCATCAGAGCCTGGACCGGCGGGAGGAGAGGGGACACATGCAAGACAAAGAGACGGGGGTGACGCCCAGCCGGGCCAAGTTGCGCTGACAGAGAGCGGTGCAGGCTTCGCACGGAGCGCGGCGGGAGACGAAAAACGAGCAGAATGCGATTGTGGACAGCAAATACGACATGAGGGATGCAGGTATGTAGGTACTATTAGACGAGCGTATGCAAGAGTGTGCGGGCGATGCAGAGATGTGTACAAGTGGGAGCGCGAGGAGAAAATGTCTAGAGATGCGACGGCGAGGCAGGATGAGCGTGCGAGAGTAGGCGAAAGCTTTTGAGCGTGGGTAATCAGCGGCGCAGCAGTGGAAAACCCCCAAGGTCCCAGGAGAGCGACAAGGAAAAGAATAAACAGCGAAGGCGGGAGACGTCTATGTGGCAGAGGTGATGAGGAGGGCTCGGTTACACGTTCATCTTTTGTTTTAGCTGCAGGCCTGGCGTGAGCGGGCGCGTCCAAGCGCGGGAGGGAGCAGAGGCACGTACCGGTTTCCGCATCGTCAGCGCGTCGGGCGAGTATTGTGACGACTGTGTTGTCTGCAGAGGGTGTCAGCGGGCGTGGGGCAGCAGAAGAACACGTCGACGTACGACTGGCGGGATATACGCAGCAGACGGATGCGAGGCCGTTTTGGAGAGAACTTTTCGCAGCTGCAGATGGGCGGCGTGAGCGGGCGCGGGGCGCGGGATGGGGCGCGTGCAGACGAACCTTTGCTTCGCTCTCTGCTGCCCGCTGTGCGGACATGTAGTTTGGGTGGAGTGCGACGCCGTCGAGGCTCTTGGCCTGCGGCAGGGTGGAGAGGGCGGAGGAGAGGCTGGGGAGGGCGATGAGCTGCTCGGGGGCGATGGCGGAGCTGGAGGAGGAGGAGCGAGAGGAGCCGGACTTTGAAGACATGG